AGAGGACCAGCGGAGCGGCTCCTGCCCTCTGGAAGAGCCGCGTCGAGCATCGCCCTGGTGCTGGATTGGCAGAAAGCAGACACCCTGCCGTCGCTGTCTGCCAGCGCGGATTCTCACTGCGCTGGCTGGGGGATGCTGGGTTTGGTGGAGAAGGGCCTGATGGGGATGGAGGGAACCCAGCGTAGCCCACAACAGCTCCTGCGGGTGTGTATCTCCATTTTTGGTGTGCTGACAGCAGGACGAAATGCCTTGAATCAGCTTTGACAGGAGGGCAGCTGTAGTGTTTAATGAACATTTAATTTCCAAATTAGTTGCCAGGTTTTGGCGCACAGAGGTGAGTGTCGTTTAGGCGAGTGCTTTCCCGGTTCTGGGTCGCTGAAGGATGGAAACATCAAATTTCAGCCAGCTTTACAGATCCTGGTGCTCCCTCAGGGATGGGGGATGTCGTTCTGCCGAAGGACTCTGCATGCAGTCGATGGCGTTTGCCACAAAAGGCAGGAGACCAGCGTTGTAAGAAGATTATCAGAAGCTTTTATGTTTCTGGGAGAAATTCATCATCTGGTCTTGCTATCTGTGCGCCAATTAACAGGGGATTGTAAGTTCTTTTTCTGCATCATTTACCCTTTATTTGGGGGGGCTTTCTCTCCACAGTATGTTCTTTTTCTCTCCGGCACAGGTTCTCTTAACACACAGATTTGCTTTTGGATTCTTGGTTTCCCATCTCATATATCCAGGCTGCCCTGGTTTGAATCTCCCCTTCTATTAGTATTTTATTGTGGCTCCTTTTGCCTTGAGATGGTGATGAGCAGCCAGGATCCATTTTTCTGTGTGGCACTGATTAAAAGAGTTAACAGGGAAACGAGGTGTTTTCTTGAAAATAGGAAGAATTAAGTGGCAGCCAGATTCATCATTCAGTTCCCAGCTGCTTTCTGGCTAACGCACGAATCCAAAGCTCGCTCGTGGCAGCAGGACACGCTTGTCTCTGTCCCTGGGATCTATAAACTTCTGCAGTGGTTTTGCTGACTCTCACATCCGCATCTCTGACAATTTATATTCTGCCGCTTGTACTTGAAACCTAAACTCTGGGAAAAAAATCTGTTCTGCTTTATGTGTGCATTGAACTTGGCGTGATGGCTGCTCTCATTTCATGTATTGCTCAGAGAAAGCTTATTGCGAGGAAATACAACTCCTTTCTTTGAAGATCTGCTTGGATCGTGGGATATTTGCTTGAATTAATAGGATGACAAATACAGCACTTCAGCAAGCTATGTGTTCGTTGAAAACATAATTAAAAACTCTGTGGGTTGTTTACAGACCGCCTCGTACCCCGTTTGCCGGCTGTCCCCTGCAGCTTGCTGTGATCTGCAGTTTTTCTGCTTTGGAGAGCAGCGTATTGCTCTCCCTGTCATCCAGCCCGGCTTTGCTTTGTGGCTGCATCAGTCCTGCCACCTCCTTGCAGTGAATTTGTTCTCTCTTTCTTTCTTCCATCCCATTTAGCATTCTCAGTTCTCTGAAAATTCTGCTTTTAAGCAAAGTGCAGCGTCACCTCAAATTGTAAAATCTGTCTTTATCCTCCCTCCCTCCTCTAAAGAAAAAAAAAAAAAAACCACACACCAAAAAAGCCACAAGTAGAGCAAAAATGTGATTTAATTGGCAGCAGGTGTGGTGTCCGCTGTTTGCATTTGGAATATTTACAGCACAGCCACCTTCTTTCATCACCTGGAGCTGCTTACTCAGAGGAGGCAGCTCTGTCACTGTGCAGCGCCTCTGCTGACTTGTTTCGGAAAATTCAGTTAATCTCGTGCTTGTAAAATAGCTTTGGGTGAGCTCCAAGAAGTGGGGAATTGTGTAACTGGAATGAAACCAAAAGTTAGCGATTGATAAAGGCTGCAGCCCAAACTGAGCCGCCCTGGCTTGCAAAATGTGCTCGTTTGAAGATGAGTCACTGGTACGGGCTGGACACCCCAAATTGCTCATGATGTTTTCACATTTTCATATTTTTGTATAAATTCGGGGAGAACAGAAGAAAAAAGTTTGGGAGGATGTTGGGGTAAGAGACACTAAATGGTTTTTCTCTTGCTGTATCTGGCTGCCCCGGTACCCAGAGCTGTACGAAACGAGGGAAATCCTGCAGCCCTGCTGTGCTCCTGCAAACCCACCGCCCGCTGCCCCTCTGAACGCCCTCCCGGCGCAGCAGCCGCCTGCCCAGCATCCTGCCTGGCCGCTGACGCTGACCTGTGCTCCACGCATCTGCCGAAACTTTTTTGAAACTCTTTAGAAAGTCTCGTTTGCCCTCTCTCGCATCCTGCAGGGAGCTCAGTGTTATTTTCCATTGTGTGCAAAAGCGCTTCAGCCGCAGGATGCGTGATCCCGTGGTGCTGACGCATACCGGGAGCGTTCTGAACAAGCGCGGCGTGGCCTGATGCATACGTGCTGTTGTATGAGCTGAATTCCTCCTCAGGCAAAGGCAGGTCTCACCTTTCCTCCTCTTCTTCCCCTCCTGTGTCCTCGTTGCAGAGTACAGAATCCTAGATCGGTTAGGGTTGGAAAGGGGCACCTCCCACGAGACCAGACTCGGAAGCACATGGAAATGCCTCTAGAGATCCACCCCACTCTCAAAATGGAGAGAATTTCTTTCTGGTTTCCAGTTCTGGAAAAAAAAAAAAACAACAACAACAACAACAAAAAAAAACAGTTTAAAAATAGTGCATTATGTACATGCTTTCACTGAGGTTGCCCACTATGGTGATTTTTGTTACTCCTAAACCATGAGTTTCAGGCCCTGGACGTGGTCATGAAGTACAGTAATGACCCTGTAAATCCCACTAACATCACTGTTGGGTTTTTTTGCCTGTCTGGGGCTTTAAAACCAAAAATTTATATTTAATGCAGAATTTTATATTTCATTGATCTGTTTCCATTTTTCTTTTGACTCCCAATTTTTCCACCTAATTCAAAGCTGTTGCGGGAAACCACCCACCTTCCTTAGCTACAAATTTCCTTGGTTTATATGTTTCAGGATCTATTCTTTTTTTTTTTTTTTTTTTACTACTCCTCTGGACTTAATTTGTAGTATATTGTGCAAATGTGTTCTTCCTGTAGGTGGCTTATTACTTCTGGATGCTGTGCAAATAGCAGCTATTCTGCTTGTGCCAAAAGCTGCAGCAAACGCTCATTGTTTCCTTAATGTGCCATTACCCGGGCAGCACATATGCACCGCGTAAAGGAGAGCAGGAGAGAGCTACTTGTCTGCAGAATGAGGAGCTGCACAGCTCTCGCTCATCAAACAGCAGGTTTTTTGTCCATGAAACAGCGAATTCTTGGGAAGCGATCATCCCTCTGAATTGTAGGCGCTTCTCGTGTTGGCGAATCCATCCCAGCGCACGGGTCTGTCCGGATAACGGATGGGAAGCAGCCAGCTCCTCTGCGGTGTGTTCACGTGCTCGGTGCTGGAGGTTCTTTGGGAAGGTGATAAATCACACCCTGCCGGTGGAGTTGGCTGAGCCTGGCTGCTGGGATGGAGACATCTCCAGTGCGGGTCCCAGAGCATGATTCATCTCCTCTGGAGCTCCGCAGGCGTCTCCAGCATGGACGACCCATCCTGTGCACTCCCCTGGTACTCTTTGGAGATCAGGGCAGTTCAGGGCATGATTTATCGAATACTGACACCGGGTTTAGGTGAGAGGGCTCTCACGTCCACCCCACCACCACCTGAAGAAGCAGGAGGTGGGCGCCCGTGGATGTACCTCCAGACGGTCCCAGGAGCCCACTGGTGGGGGAGGTCCGGCTGCGTTCGGCTGCTGGTTGTGGGGTGGATCAAAGCCATCGTGGGAGATGATTTTAGGATGATCCACATTTCTGTGTTTCGCTGAGTTTTTGGCATAGTGCAGCAAAGTTGGTAATCTTTCTAATCAGTGTCTGATCTCCCTGGATCAGATGCAAAGTCTGTTCAGCCCGTTGCCTTTTACATGGAGCTGGGCTGTAGTGGAGAACCAGGAAAAGAGCACAGGGACAAAGTCGCCGTATTCCTTGATAGATCTTCATCCCTTGCTTGGCTAATTATTTTTTGAGCCTATCTAGATCGGTGATTAACCTGTGGCAGTGATAGACCTACGAAAGAACATTTGCATTTCAGGCACCCTCATCCTCATACGCTGATAGTCCTTCCCTTTGAACCCCACTGACGAGTCCAATCTAATTAATCTTTCCTAAGATAGAAGCCACTCCACCGGCATGGAAATGAGACCCGCTGCTGTGCGATCCCCGGCTGTGCAGGGACACGGCTGAATTCCCCTCCAGCTCCTCCACGGGGAATGCCAGAGCAGAGAGCACTGTTTATCTCTTTTCACGTGAATAATTCTTTTGAAATGTCCCCAGTTTAATGAAATCTGGTGGTGACCAGCTCTGTGTTTTAACTGGGTGCTTTTCAGTATTCAGGGACTCGGTTTACCCTGGTGAAGGTCGTTTCTTTTCTTTCTTAGCTCTTTTCAAGGTGTTTTGTCTTTGTAAGATGTCAGCGGTTTCTAGCGTGATGGCTTTCATATTGATGAAGACAGCAGATTGCAGGAATATGATCGTGAATATAATGACAGGGAGGAGGGTCGGAGGAATGCGCCGGTGCAGGATTGCTGGTTTTGAGATCTTTATCTGACTGAGAGGTGGCTTGGTGGGTTGTTTTGGTTTTTTTTTTTCCTAATGATGCAATAAGACATGGATTGGGGCAAATAATACGGTAAATAGTTGCACCTTTTTTAGCAGACCATGCTCAATACTAGAGAGGTTATTTAGAGACTGCAGGGAGAACACAGCACAAGCATTTGTGTATCGTGTGCTCATAGGAAAGGTGTCCCAAAGCGGACATCACCGGTAGTCTTGGTAGATGGAGCTAAAATTATTTTTGTCCAGATGAAGGAGAGTAATATCCCAGCTCTGGAGCTCGCAGAGGTAGGAAGGCAGAGCATCTGTTTTTATTTTAACCTCTTCTGCCCCTTTTTTCCCAGGTCATATCTGACTCCGGTGCGGGATGAGGAAGCAGAGTCGCTGAGGAAGGCACGATCCAGGCAGGCCCGGCAGACTCGCAGGTCTACCCAGGTAAAGAACGGAAATACTCACGTTCGTGGGTAGGGTGAAGAGAGCTGATGAATAGAGAGGCAAGATTTTCTTTTGCTCTTATATTATTACTCAAGGTGAGGGGCTTGCCTGCCTTCACACTGTGGTGGAGAGGTTCTGGCAAAAGTTCCTGCAAACAGGTATTACAAAATACTCCCGTGATCGTACACGAGTCAGATTTCAAAGTTCTCGTTTCTGCAGTACACTTGCCTTTTAGTTTGTAGCTTGATCACGAAGATTTGGGTTGCTTTGAGTTGGTGATTAGGAAGGTACGCTGAGAAACACGTTAAAGGCAACAGAATTCTTTTCTTTGTGTTAGCACAAAGCTGAAACATCAGCCTGGCCGGGGATGAGCCTGCTGGGCATTTTAAACTGACCTGGAAGACTTGAAATCTAATTGCAGACATTTTAAAATTCTCTCTTTTGCTTTCTCTCCAGGGTGTGACGCTGACAGACCTTCAGGAGGCAGAGCGGACCTTCAGCCGGTCGCGGGCAGAGCGGCAAGCTCAGGAACAGCAAAGCGAGAAAGCCGAGAGCGCCGAGCCTGCCGAGGAGAGTGGCGAGAGGCAGGAGACCCGCTCACGGTGGAGCCGAAATCCCGAGGAGGAGGTGATCCTCCTGGCCTCCCTTCCTGTGGTTTCAGGGTTAAGGAAGCCATTTGGGATAGCTGAGATTAGGAGAAATTTTTTCGGGGATCTCTGTTGATTTTAAGGGGACAAACGTGATGGAAAGAAGCAATACCGAGGAGTAATGCCTCAGCTCAGCCATCGGCAGGAGGGCTGTGGAGGTGGTAGAGGTCAGCTGTTCCTTCGCTCTCCACTGGGAAATTGACTGTTCTGCCTCTTGTCAGACAATAAAACTGTGTAAATCATGGAAAGTGGGATGAGAAGGTTAATGACAGAAATGTGGCCTGGCTCCATCCACTAATGCCTTGTTCACATTTTTCCGCAGATGTTCTGCATGTAATGGAAAGCTAGAGAGACCAGCTTTCTCCCACTGCCATCACTCCTGGTTTTTTTACTCTAAATCACTTTGTTAGATAACTTGTTTGTTCTGCTCTTGGCAGCAGGGACAAAGAGATTGATCCCAGACTTCCCAGCGATGGGAAGGTGCCTTTGCATTGTAGCTGTGCAACGCTTTGAACGTTCATCCCAGTCCATGGAATGAACCTGATCTGGCCGATGGAGGTGATCGCTTCCAGCAGCAGTGACGGAAACATTACACTCTAATAGATTACCCAGTTCCCTGAAATCCCTAATCTGCTAGTTCCTCAGCATTCTACTAACTTTTAGTCATGGTTCTTTGTTTCTAGACTGTCTATCGGCGACTAAGGTGCCCAGTACAACCAGACAAACCTACAACACCGGTATCTCCCTCGACGTCGGCACCTCTCCTTTACACAAGTTCCTACCTGACTCGAACAAATAAGTATCTAGGTCTTGACTCTGTGAATCCAGCAGACTTCAGGGGTTCAGCCACAGAGATGGAGAAAAATGGTACGTACCCAGGAGAACGAAGGACAGTCAAAGCTGGGGGATTTTCTTGAGTTTTAGAACTCTATGTGTACAGACAGAATAAATTTGCTTGCTATTCTGAGGGGAGCAGTATGGGGAGCTGCCACCTCACAAAACAAATGTTATTTGTTTAAATGGAAATCTTCATGTAGGATCCAGCCTATTGCTTGTAGTAGAGAGGGATAAAAGGATGTTTTCCATTTTGGATAATTAAATGAGATAGTAATCCATGGAACGTTTAGATCTTAGGGCTGGGGGGGAACGATCCCCTACTACTCAGACAGGAGTAAATTGGGACAATTTGGGGAGAGCTGAGAGCAAGGATAGCCTCTCTGGGCTCTGATAAAGGAAGGAGTGTGAGTAACCAGAGGGGCACTGAGAGTCCATTTCATTTGGTTTAACTCCTTTGTAATATAACACGAGCCAAGGTGATCTTGATCAGCTTGGAAAGAACCCCAGCACCTTAGCAAAAGCACAGAGGTAAATCGCTGAAACCAAAGCAGTCTTTCTTTGCTTGGCCAGAGTGCGAAGATCAGGATTTAGACGACAGATCTCTGAACAAGCAGTCAATCCGGGAGAGGCGGCGGCCAAAAGAGAGGCGAAGAGGCACTGGAATAATTTTCTCAACAAAAGATGTAAGTTTGAGTTCCTTAGACAAGAGAAACATTCTGTCATGTTGGGGGTGAATTTCCTTCAATCTCAAGCATCAGATTTTTTCCCAAGTCAGTTGGTTTCCCATTAGTCCTTCTCTCTCCAGCTCTGTTCCAGACTGACGCTTCCAAAGGAATCTCATCCCTGTTTGGCCTCTGTAAAACCCAAACAGCAGGCTCCGGGAAGCCTGTTCTTGAGCCATAAATCAGTGTCATTCTTGTGCAACTGTGAAAGAGCCACATGGGAGAAGAGATATTAGAAGTGTAGTTTCTTTGGAAGAAGGAGGTCACAAACCACTGGAAATATTTTCAAATTCTTCTCAGCCCAAATTTGGCTACACTTTAGGCCCCCTAAAAGGAAGACAATGAGGAATAAAACCTGTGTCTGGATCCCTTGCCCAGCAGCAGAGAACACACGCAGCAGAAATGCGGAGGAGCTGTCTGTGTCGTGGTCATTTCTCTTAGTCCTGGTTTCAAAAGGATTTATTCAGCCTGAGGGAAGCAATCCCGCCCTCCAAACCTTGGTTAGAGACTCAGGTAGGAAAATACATCATCTTTTTAGAATAAGTATTATGAAATCATGGTTAAGAAATCTGCAGCAATTCCAGTCCAGCAATGGATATACAGCCTTCCTCATGCACCTCAGAGTTAGAGGCTTCCTGCACAGCACAATGAAAAAACCCCAACGGTCTTCCCAGTGGCCACAGTAGATATGTTGAATATTTGGAGTTACAGACAAGCTGAACAGGGCCCTGCTGGAAACCTCAGAATTTCTATTGAAAGACTTGCTGCAAACGCCCCCTTTTTATTATTTTCAAATTATACTTACATTTTTTTCCCTTGCATGCCAAATGTGATTTCTTAATTTTTTTTTTCAGTTAAATGCTTTACAGCTTGCCCAGTTGTCTTCTGGATCATTTTAGCAACATTACTAGCTGCAGAGCAGGATGCAAATCACTTCAGAGTTTTTTGTTCACATCCCCGTTGTCTCTATACATAACCGCAGCTACGACTTGTGAAATGCCTTCAGTTCAGTGTGGAGTCAGGAGAGTCAGGTGTGATGCCATGGTAGTTCTTCACCATTGCTCCTTGAAATCCTGGAGCTGTTAGAGGCAGTGGGTTACAGAGTGGCTGCGTAAGTGCAAACTATCCAGGACAGAATCAGAAGTCTTTGGGTTGGAAGGGACCTTTAAAGGCAATCTGGTCTGACCCCCCAACTCAGTGAGGTTGCTCAGAGCCACGTCCAACCTGACTTTGAACCCCTCCAGGGATGGGGCATCC